CCCCCCCCCCCCCCCCCCGCCCCCCGCCCCACCCACACCCCGCCCTGCCTCCACCCCCCCACGAGCCACCCCCCTCACATCCCGCACAGGCCTACCCTCTAAACCCCCCACCCCCCCCCCCTGCCCTACCCCCGCCGCCGACCCCCCCCTCCGCCAAGACCTCCCCTCGCGGATGAGGCAATCATTTACAGGGTCCAGTACCGCCCCCGCCTTTTTTCGTTTTTTTTCCGCCCTTCCCGCCCTTCCCCCCCCCCCCTCCCCACCCCACCCCCCCGCCCCCTACCCACCCCACCCGCCCAACCCCCGCCGCCCCCCCCCTCCCCATCCTGCAGGCCTTCCCTCTACCAGCTACTCCGCCCCTCATCCCTGCCCACTCCACCTCTCCTACCCTTTTTCCCCTGCCCCCCCCCTACCCCCTTCCCTTCCCCTTCCCAACCATTCCACTCCTCCTGCCCTGCCCCTCTCCTCTCCCTCCCCACCCGTCCTCCTCCCCCCCGTCCCTGACCTCCCACCCCACACACACCCCACCTCCTCAACCCCTCACATGCCACCTCCCCCCACCCCACCCCCACCCCCACCCCTACCCCAAACCCTCCCCCCCCCCGCCTCGACCCTACCCCCTTCCCGCACTGGCCCCGCCACCCCCCCCCCTCCCCAGCCCCCCTGCCCCTCCTCAATCCCTCACCTACTGCGTTCTCCAAACCCCCCCCCCTCCGCCTATACCCCCCCTCGCCGATACCCTCTACCCAACCATTCCACTCCCTTCCCCTGCCCCTCTTCCTCAGTACCCTTCCCCTTTCCAACCCCATCCCTTTACATATACCGTTTCAGACTTAGAAACCAAGGTTTACGGTTTCGGCGCTTAGAGCAGAGGCATTATCTCCCAGAGTTGAGCAGGAGAAGAAGGGGGGGGGGGGGAAACGAAGGATAGGGTTTGGGCAGCTTGGGCGTTTGCCTCCAAGGGTCGGCGGCACTGGCGGTAGCCATTAATATTTCGTATCGGATGTATATATATATATATATACATCCGGCTTCGAATATCTAAACATAACGTCTCGACATAGAAAAGGGTATGAAAAGGTAGGTTTTTGGGGGGGGGGTACCATAATATATATACTCTTTTTTTTTTGGGGGGGGGGTGGTCATGTGCTCCTTGAGTTCAGAGCCCCCAAATCCCCCAACGTAGCCAGACACTGTCCGAGATGCCTTTGAATGGCCGCTCTGTTGGGCGTCAAGTAGCCTCGGCAAGCTCAGAGTGCTTCCTTGCACCCAATGGCTTGGGGCTGTAAACCCTTTCAGTGTCTGGATCGCCCTTCATGGGGCCCCACCAGGCCGACGTGCCCGGCGAGTCTCGGCACGGCTCTCCGGGTGCAAGGCGAGCTCGGCACGGCTCTGCCTATTTTTGCCAAGGGGCGTATTGGCAAGGGGGACTGCGTGCAGTTGGAGTTGGAAGAAGCCCCAGTCTGGCGTACCAGGACATATTAACAAACTAGAGCTGAAGGCCCTTCTTACAGCTATGAGTGGAGAATCATGAAGGGGAAGCAATCACGAACTCGTTTCATTCATTTGGTGGACAGCTTGGCTGCATTGGTCATTGTAAACAAAGGCCGGAGTTCAAGTCGCAAGTTGAGGGCCATCATGAAGAAGATTGCCCGTGGCTGCTGTTGTCACGGGCATCTTGTGTCTTGGGGTACAGGCCAAAATCGGCTCACGCCCTCCATGAAGCGGAAATGGGCAAGCGCGATGTAGTGGAGGGTCGTACCCAGGACATCAGATGGCAGCAGCTTGGAAAACTCAAAGACTTAGTTACAAGACTGGCCACAAAAGCAGGGTATGATGTAGCCATGAAACTGTTTTTAGAGTATCTAAGGTGAGCCGTGCTTTTTTCTCTAGCATGAATCGATGGACATTATAACCCTTCCGCGGCGTGTTCCGCGGATTCCGCGTTATTTCCGCGAGCCTTCCGCGGAAAAACGCGATTCCACCGTCGCACCCGGCCCGAAACAGAAATGAGTGTATAATGTGTATGTGAGGATGAGGCATGGACTCTAGGGCCTCCAAAACGACCCGTCGTCTTCCGTGGAGCTTCCGCAACCCTTCCGCGGGCCTTCCGCGCAGATCCGCTCTCCGAAACGGTTGCCGGCATGTTGGGCATCCATTATATCTAAGTTTCAAGCACGCCGCCCTTCCGCGAGCCTTCCGCGGACACCACGCCTTCCGCGGACCCTTCCGCGACCTTCCGCGGAATCTTGTTCACCTCTTCACCCCTTCCGCGGACAATAATAATGTCCGCTGCAAAGTACCTATGCTCGAGCGCCTAAAAAAAACTCAGCTCAGGTGGAATCGTCTCCCAATGCTGGGAAGCAGCGAACAAGTTGATCGGGTTGCATTGGAACATATTCAAGATTGTGGGAAAATCATCATCTCTGCAGCATTCTGAGCGCAAGCAGTTGGGCAGTTGGCAGTTGGCGCCTGTCCGGCCGCGCAGCCCCGCTGACTCCCGCCACGCTGCGGCTTCGTGGTCAACTGGGCTTCTGGCGGTTCTCGGGCTGGGCTCACAGTGCGGCGCAGGAACAGACACTGGAGCCGGATTTTGTCCAGGTCGTGGATTTTGGATGCCGTACGGAACAGGCATTTTGGGGTTAAGCTTCCCTAGCCGCCCCCCCAAAATCCCCAAAGTACCTACTACACGGGTGGCTGGTACCCCGAAGGACCCTCTATGTGGATAACCGGGGGTGGGGGGGTGTCCAAATACCCCAAGGTAATTAGGCCCCAAACTACCTATATGGGAACCAATCGGGGCCCAAAGTATACGCCAATTGGGTACTTAAGGACGCTTAGCCCCGCACCTTCCCTATAACCCCTAAACTCTATAAACTCCTATAACCCTCATAAGGGGGTTGCCTCTCCTTCAAACTACCAACCCGGGAGCATCTCTGAGGATCAAACACCATGACTCGGAGGCCTCGAGGCGGGCCACTAAGGGGTTGGGCCTTTGCCTCAGTGGAGCTTCAAACATCAGGATACATGGAAAGCCAACGCTTGAAGGCCCACATCTTCCAAGGCCAACACCAGGACGCCTTAACACCTTGTCTCCCGGCATCCTCCTCGTAGAATCCCAACATCATCCCAACATAGCCCTTATGGATCATTATCCTTTCATGAGAAGAAAGGATGCCTGTGGCCAACAAAACACTTGGTCATATTGTAGTCTGCCTAAATAGGGGGACCCCAATATAGCCCCCCCCAAATACTATAGTCCTGACCCCCCAAAATGGTACCCCTAATTTTGGGAAACCCTCATATCCCTTGGGCGTGGCTGAAACACAGGGTCCTACCACCGTCATTACCCTTCGTTGAGGCATCATCTGAGAAGGGCTATGCCTGGAAGGCATTCTTACTAAGCAGTTTCCCGGTCCCACCCCTGGTGGCTACCCCCCACTCAGATGCTCGCCTTCCGAACTCAGAGAGCCCGGGATGGCACAAAAGGGACCTGTCCAGGGCATCGGGCTTTGGGGGGCGGAGCTGGGCAGTTTCTCAGATAAGGGGTCTGAGGTGTTGAAGGCGTGTCTGGGCTTCAAGTGAAAAGGTCCTGGCACAGAAGATCATAGGTTCAAATTATCCAGCTCTTCTGTGGAAAGTGGATCTGCAGATTCAAGGCCACAGAAAGGGACCTGTGCAGGGCATCGGGCTTTGTGGGGGGGGCTGTGGGAGGGGATCTGCAGAATTGAAGGGGAAGACGCTTCTTTGAGTCTTCTACTGCCATGTGAGGTCTGCATGAAGGGGTTCAGGGTTTACAGCATAAGGTTTAAGGGTTTTGCGGGTTTAAGGCTTAGGTGGCTCGCTTCCAGTCGTCGGGTTTCGGGGTGTAGCGCTGGAGAGCTGCATGGTTGGAGTTCTTGGTGTGAGGGTTTGGAGTTGAGGGTAACTTTGGAGTTGAGGGTGTTCCCCTCAAGCCCCCACCCCCGGCACTTGTAGGATCTTGGGCAGAAACGGCCCCTCCCTTTCAAAACTAGGGGTCTCCATTTCTACCCCCTAAGAAAAACGTCGTGGAATCCCCGTTACAACGGACGCCCCAACAAAGGACCCTCGTCTTGAGAGCAGATGGTGACACTTCTAGGCTGCGCTGATCACCCAAAACAGGTAACCCAGGTCCTGGCCTTATCCCCCTTCTTGTTTGATCCTTCCGCGCCCTAGGGATGGGATCTCAGAGGCGGCAGTTTAGGGTGTGGGGATTACTTCGTAGGGAATTAGGGAACTTTGTGGAGCCCCTTGCAAGGGTTCTACATAAGGGGATTTTGGGGTTTCGAGTTTATGGTTTAGGGTTTGCTGCCGAGTTCCACTAAGAACCCGCAAGGTTAAGATTTGGGTTTCCAGGGTCAGCTGAGGGTACTTGCGGGTACCGGGCCGATCCTTTTTTTCGACAAGGATAAACACAATGCGCCCATCATGCACGCGATGGTCTACCCATTATGCAGACATGCGGCGTTGTGAGGAAAGGGGGATGAAGCCGATTGTTGTTAGGCGAAAGTACTTGGAGGTTTGTAGGTGCTTTCCCCCTAAGGAGATATGCTTCTTGCCCATAATTCGACAACATCGTCGGGAGGTTTCAACTGATTTGGCCTTCAACAGGGGCCTTTGCATTCGCTAACTTTCGTACGGAAACCGGTCCGACCTCTGGCCACAACAGTTGTTTGCGGGTTTTGGCATGCAAAGTCAGTTCTCACAGATTGGAGTTTCGAGCTACTCTACGAGGACCAAAGGCAACACGGGCCTCGAATATTGATCCGCGCAGCCTCCACTCGGAAGTCCTGACAATGATCCGAGACAAATCATGGCACGCAAGAACCTGCCTACTGGTTTAGCTCAAGGTTAGGGCACCCTTGGTTTCCATATTTGTTGGCGTCTGGTGCACCTTTGCAACCGGCACATATCAGCGACTTTCACAATTGGCGAGCCCTCCGAGCTGTCCGAGCTTCTTAGCATGGGGAAGCTCTGTCCTATATCATCTTTAGGACCTGCACTCTGCCTGTGTTGCAGGGTGGCTCGCAAGGCAAGGAAACCGTTTCTACTGGCAAATTGAAAGGTTCTGCAGCAAGATCAATGCACTGGCACGCATGCTCTTCTTGAGGAATGTCGTGATTGGGATACTCACTGGCAGTGCACCAGACATTGGCGAAAATCACGTACTTGAATCTGCGTTCGCCAGAAGCTGTAAGAAGTTGCTGTCGGATGAGATACCGGAAAATGTCCACATTGGGCATGTGCTGCAAGGTGTCCTTGGTCAACAGTAAATCTGCTTGGGGCAGCGGCGTGAGGGTCATGTCGGCACGCATTGTCTTGAAGGATGAGAATCCAACGGCGTTGCCTTGCAAAAAGTTCTGATTCGCATCAACCATCTCCTGTAAGAGATCTACCCCGGTATATGCAATGGGTGGCCAGCTGACCTTAGATTGCCAACCGCTTGGCCAATGGCCAGCTGAAGCCTCGACCATGGAGGAGATCGAATGCTCTTGGATGAAATTCAAAAGGAAGTCCACGAGGGGCTGAATGTTCTGGAGCTCAGAGGATGGTCCGGAGACAGCCTGAGTCTTCTTGTCAGCCGGATCTCTCCAATTGGGTTCTTTGCTTCGCTGGTCAGCAAACTGAGCATAATGCGAGAAAGTATCTGCACGCTCATCCACCTTGGAGGTCTTATAGTGCACGAACCACCAGGGTGATCGGTAACCCGTGTAATCGGGATCCTTCACGTAATCCGGTTTTGCAGGAAGCTCTGCTTGACAAGCGGAGCGAGTTATCCCATGACAGACCACGCATGCAGCCACAGTGGCCAACAGCATCCCTGCTAGGTGCCCATATGTCAGGACAACAGGACTCCGCAATATGCGAAAAGGTTTTGCCATGCCGCGATGCAAAAAGAGATCGGGCGCCGAACTTCCTTGATCCAGTCAGGTGGTGCAAGCCCAGTTCATTTTGATCGCACGTGACTACATGAACCAAGTGAACTCCGCAAGTCCTGGAAAACAATAATTGACTGTACAGAAAAAGATGGCAAAACGACCCACACACTACACACATGAATACGTGCGTGGGTGGGCTGGCATGAGCATAGTTCGCCTAACCTCCCAACCCATAGCTTCGTGCATAAGTTTACGATGAACCTGATCACCTGCGAAGAAAACTCGCCCGGAGTCCATGCTCCACGCAGAAGGCGTTGCCAGAATGCCTATGATACTATTTGATTTCTGATGTCGCATGATGCCTATGATGTTATATGATTTCTGGCGTCGCACTGGCAATGCCCCAAATTCCTTCTCTCAACCCCTAGCAGCAAGTCTTGCTCCTCACCGAACTGGCAATGCAGGAGAGTGCCATGAGTCTTGACATTCTCGCACCAGCCTCAGCCGGGAACTTGTGCATTTTTTTGAGGTTGGTTTTCTATGGGCGTGAGACAGAGGATTTGTAACCGCTCGAAAGAACTGTGTCAACAAGACGCAGGATTAAAAGAGTGAACAAGAGAGCAGGCAAGATGTAATTGTAACTCCTTGACCGTGAAGTTACCGCTCCAAAGACTGCTATCATCATATTAGGGATTTCAAAGGGGTTTTAGGAGTTAGGGTCTCACGGTGTGATGAGTGAACAAGACTGTGAGGAAAGAGACAAAGACCCAGATGAACCAGCTCCTACTTGTTCAGGGGTCTTTCACTGGGTTACTCGGGAGGTTTCCAAGCCTCTGAAAAGCGCCCATATTGTAGCTTATAACCTCGACATCCGGTCAATCATAAAACCAAGATCCCGTCTTTTGGTCGGTGTCTGTCTCTCGGGCGGTCCAGTCCGCTAGCTTAAACAATGCCGTGTAGCTTTGGGGGAAATATTCCTTTCTGGAGGGGGTCTGGTTTCTGTGGCTGTGGGGCCTGAAGAACCCTATAAAGCCCTAAGCCTAAATCGCTAAGCTCCTTTTCAACGCTGGAAGGCCAATCTACGAAAAATCCCGAAGAAAGCTGAAGCCCACCTTGCTCTACTCTGTATGTTATAGTAGATAGCAAACAAGAGTTTACTACTAGTGTACTGGAGGCTATTGCGGAGTACAGTGTCTATTGTAGTATGCCCGAAACTTTCAGTCCCAGAATCTACCATTGGCCGCAGAAACAGCCAGTGATGCGTCCCACCACTGTACTACACTGTACTGTACTTCTTACACTCCGAGCTCCCTCGTGGCCAGGTCGCATAAAAGCCCAGCAAGGGCGCAATGCTCCGGAGCGAGAAAAAAAACCGCATGCTGCCATCGCGTCAGTGGAGGGAATGGCATCCTATATTGTACTTTGCTAGAATATCATATTATAGCATATTCTGCCGTCTATAGCGCAGACTACACAAACACGGGGCACTTTGCTAGTGCCAGGAACAGGTGCACAAGAGGCCTTGCGCAACAGTAGTATAACAACAATAAGTCTACAGTCTTGACCCCGTCTCCGAGCAGGGTCAGTCATGTTGGACTTAGATGCCTGCACTTTGATGAGTGTTGTCGTCCTGCGTTGTGCTCTACTAGACTGCTTATATACTGCAAAACACCATAGCGCTTGTTTGTGGATGCTATGCTATATACTATTTCGGGGTTTTGCGCACGAGGTGCTCGGCCGAACCGCAACATGAACCCTTCACCTAGAACCCGCGGGGATTCGGAACGAAGGGACTTCGGATGTGGAGCGGTGTGAAGAACGATCAACGCCAAATGCCCCATCAGCACGGCGCCATGAAAGGAATGAGGGCCTGCCTTCTAAACACTCCAGAAACTGGATCGTCAGCCTGGGCACAATGAGACACAACCAAAGCACTTTTGGTGATAGCAGCGTCCGTGTCCCAGTAAGACTCGACCGCTACTGGATGCAAGCAATTTTCATCAGAATCTTCGAAGCACAGCTTAGCTTAAGACGAAGATGAGGTCAACAGTCATCTCCTTTGCAAAATACACTGGATTCCAGACATCATGCATACTGTTCCGGCCGCGGCCATCGACGCTGACAACGTACTTCTCTGCCAGCGAATACCGGTTGGAAGTCATGAGCTGGATGAGTTTCTGTGCTCCCTCCTGTTTACGGCACCAGAACTTCCAGGAGTCTGCACGTGACCATCCATCCCTGGTCAAAATGCAGGACTCCATGTGTGACTCTACTTGGATTAAGCCCACCCGATACTTGTCAAACGGAAATGCCTCGAGTATCTCCAACTCGCTGCCTTCGGTATCCACGGTCATATAATCAACTTCTTGAAGCTTTGCCATGTCAAGCAGTTCCTGAAGCGTGTGGCACTTGAGCGGGGTGATACTTGTAATGTTAAACCACATACGTCCCTGTTTCATGTCATCAAGGACAGCTGGGTCGTAGGTGTCCTCAAATCCCGAAAGGCCAGGCCACGGCGCATCAACAAAGTTTCTTAATCCTGACTTTCCACACACAGCGCCTTGCAATGCGAAACTACGGGGTCGGTTCTGTGCCAGCTCGCTTTGGAAGTGAATAGATGGCTCTGCAAGTGCCCCATGCCAGCCAAGGGTAGCTTCGAAGAAATTCGTGTTGGAGTGGTAAATGCCGTTCAAAGCACCAAACTCCACAAACGTTCCCGTGGGCGGCGATATCTTTGTGTGTGAAAAGAACCTTTTGAGAGTCCATAAGTCTTGACCGGACTGCGCCGCAACCGCCGGATGTCGGAAGATGCCGGCCGGGAGAAACTGTGTGCCAACCAGATGCAAGCCACGAAGGGCTGCAAACCATGATGCGCACCTGGGCACATCTCAACCCATCAGCTCCACAACAAGATGGTTTTGAAATGGTTTTGAAGCACAAAGAGCTTTACTAGTGTTCATTGAGACGCTCACTCTGAAGATTCGTGCCTGTGTTTGTCGCCATGCCGTCGAGGACGTGCACGCTCAGGACTTGGCGCTCCGAGGCTGCTGTTGGAGTCCATTCCACAGAGAAGAAGCCGGGATCAATCAAGTAGGGCCTATTCCCTGCACTAAGTAGGTGGCCACCCCACCAGACATCATCATGAGTGCGGCAGCCAAGGGGCGCCTCGCTCAAATTGAAAACATGGTCTCCAACCATAAACCTCTTGAAAAGAACACCAGCGAAGCCTCCACACCAGCCGTGTACAGTGCCTTCTTCCCCACGATCCATGGTCCGCTTTTTCAAACTCCGGTACCCATCGGCCCAGGCCTGACAGCTCCAGCCGATAACAGCTCACTCTGTGCTACATTTTCTGTACGGCAAATGTTAAAGTTCAGGTCCCTCTCACATGATGCTTGTAGGACAATCCAGAACAAGCTGAGGCCTTAAGAGCTCCCAAGAGCCAAAGCTTCTCGTATGCTATCATCTATAGGCGGGTGCCGTTCGAATCGTATGATAAACTTTACTCTAGCACTCACATGTACACACACACACACTGCAAAGTTCGTCTTCCTTGTTTCAAGGCTTCTCACAGAAGTCTTCCAGGAGAGCCTCCTCGCACCAAAAGGCCGGGGAGATGTTCCAAGGCAGGTGACTTGCAGCGAGAACGAGGGCCAACAGCGTGTCTTTGTGGTACTTCGTATCATCATCCACGGTTATGAGCCAGGTCTTGGGGTCCTTCTCCACTTGCAGAGCTGCCAGGAGCTTGGTAGCAGGGCCCCAGTCATCACTTATCTGCTTCACGGCGATGATGTTGCTGATACCCTTGATCTCCTCCCAGAAAGTAGGGTCACCTGCCACTCCATCACCAGCTACTTGGCTCCCACGGCCTTTGATCGAAGACTTGGTGAAAGGATTCCTCAGATCACTGTTGCGAGTGCTGAAAGCCCCGCGCTCAAATCCCACGGAAGCTGGGAACACACATGACTACACCAAAGCACCGGCAAAAAACTGCAAGGCGAAGCTCTGCCCCAAACCCGCGAGATCAGAGAAACATGCCAAGCTTGAGTCCATTTTGAAACCCTCCATGATTTCGGTCGTCCTTCTAGCAAGGACACTCGGGAAACATCAGCTCAGGACCCGCCTAAAGCTCTAGCAGGCCTTGAGGCTTTAACCTGCTTACAAACGGACCTGGCATCATACTTCTACATAACATACTCCTGCAAAGCCTCTGCATCCTTGCGGCTCCCCATCAAAAAAAACGACAGAACATAAATGACAAGCCCAGAATGGGTTCCACTCCGTCCTGGAGTTGAAACGATGAGCACCAGCACTAAACTTAACCCATGAAGACAACATTCCAAGGTCATGTCGCCTAAAAGCCCAGGTTCTCTGTGACAAAAACGTAGATGGCATCGGCCGGGCAACTTTGAGCTGCTAGTGACTCCAGGGCCATCTTGAGGTGTCCAAGTCCTCGCACTTCATACTTCTCTTCTTTTCTTTTTTCGCTTCTCTTGAGAGGCTCACAAGAGGCTCGAAGCTTAAAACGGGTTTCAATTACTAGGGTTGTGGTACAATGCCGTCAAATACCTTCTAAACAACATGGATCTTGCCCTGTGTCCCTGAAAGACTTGGGAGGCAATAGACCCTTATACCCAAAGCTTTCTGGAGATCTTCGAAACACCAAAAGCTCCTATTGCAAGTGCTTCTTCGCAAGACGGGGCATCTGGGGACCAAAAATAGGACAAGTACGATGCGAGCGTGACAGATCCGGGATTCGGCAAACGTTGGGCTTGAGGCTGTAGGGCTTCAGGTTTCCGATAGAACGCAATGGGTGAGTCAGGGGCTCTTGGGCGGGTCAGAGTATGACTATGGCTCAGGGGATGGGTCCGAACTGCTTTTCAGCCCAAGCGTCGTCCCTCGAAAGTCGACAGGGTGACAACCACGCGTGTAGGTTTGTTGCATGTGTTCTTGCTGGCCCTGGCTGCTTCCACTATTTCACGCAGCGATGCACCTTCAAAGAG